CACGACTCACCTTTGCCACACTGCTGGAAATACCGTATGCGAAAACCTATAAAAAAGTGCTTTTGGATTCAAAAAAACTATGTCGGCAAAAAATGCCGCCTGCTCTATGAGGAAATGCCCACTGTGAGCCAGTAGTTATAGCAGAAGAGATAGTAATACTTTCAATTGGAGAAAATATTTTTAATATAAGAAATTTAGTCGATGTAACGATAGTATATAAGACGATAGTATACGTGACTAAAACGTTTTTAGTCACGTTAACTGCCAGAAAAACAAAATGATGCAACACCATCTCTCCTGATAAGAAAGACTGATAGTTGTTGTTAGGTACAATGAACTACGACTTATTCATGTCGTCAAGTTAACTGCTGCAATAAACTGAAAAGAAAAGAAAAAAGTCTTTTTCCTAGTAAAAAAGCACGGTTTCAGTCATACGAACGACATTTATATCTACCAAATAAAGGCAAACTGTACTCTCTGACATTGAATTTCAACAAAAGTGAAAATTAAACATATAATATAAGGTTTATTTGACAGGAGTCAGCAATATTCTTAGCTGATATCAAAATTTAATTTTGTTTAATTACATTCAGGCAAAACTCAAACTATAATTTTAGAAATTTTAGATTTAAGTTTTGCCGAGGCAAATTTAAAATATGACCAGACAAAACTTAAATCGGAGTCTTGTCTAGGCAAATTTAAAATTTGTCCGAATTTAAGTTTTGTCTACAACATACACACACTTATATGATTTTCATTTTATTCTGAGCTTCACTTTCTTAACGAAGTCCTGTTCAATTACAAGTCAGCGAGCCTGATGGAAGACCACGATGGCTGCATTTAGAATGCTGGTAAAATCAGCCACTGAGTGGGCTTGTTTCCGTAGAAGTGTGGAGAATTGAAAAATCCAAAATTATTTTGCTTCCCTACGCGATCATGTTTTGAGAATAAGTTTTTATTGTTATTGCCAGGTTAAAATTAGAATATTAGCTTAGCAAACCCATGCGCACATCAATTACAGAAATCAGCTAATGGCTACTGACTAGCAAGTAAATCGCTTAAGAGAAGCCCCGTCACAGTGTCGACCACCCTGTCCAAAGTAAAATTTTCTTTTCTTTTTATTTATGTCTCATTTGATGGAGCATAGAAAATAACCACTAACCATGCAATAACTGCTTCTGAAAGGGCTTTTTAAAATCTAGAGGCCAGTCACTCTTGTTACCGAAAAATGTAATTTCCACAAATTTTCATATTTTCCGATTTTGTGAAAAGCTATCAGACTCCTGTGATTCGTTCATGGCTCATTTAAAAGAGCAATGTTTAAGAGACGTTTTAACAGCCCAGTGAGAAAAGCTGTCAAGTGAAATTTTTTGACCTAAATCTTTTTTTCTATTTTTGGATTCTATGATCAAAACTAGGGTTATGAAAACCTTTTCAGGTCGTTCGGACTTGATTTCGCCGAGTTATAGAGTTTACAAACTTAGGTGTATCGAAGATTTTCAAAAAAGTGACCTCCGTAATATTTTGCCTATAACTTCGTCAAATCGAACGTCGTGTCATTCGAAAGTCCATCGAAACATGAACAAAAGCATGTGCTTTTAAATTTTTTAAACTTTGCGAAGTTAGTTACCCGAAAAAGCATATGTTCACGTTGATATTAATGATGTATTGGTAATGATCTACTATTCTACTGGTCAGAGCTTCCATATAATCTTTATCAATTTTCCGTTCAACCTCTGCCCAAACGTACCATTACAAAGGTTATTTATTACCTAACGTTGCCAGGATAAATCGCCAGACTTCAGGAAGTTGCATTCTTTAGATCATAGATGCGGCGTCGACAGAATTATAACTTAAACACACTCGCAGTAGGGACTGTCGCAGTGGACTTTCGGCAGTTGCCGAAAGTTGCGTTTTTGTTGGATTTTTGCAAAATACCAGACTGGAACCTTGGCAATAGCCAATAGTCCAGTTTTGTAAATATCAGAAATACATTAAAAGCACAGCTTTAATTAGTAGTAATTAATTAATTCGCTAATTACTGAACTTTCGGCAATAGACGTTAAACACCAAACCAATGGCATAGCTAAACAAGTTCTCGACACTGTCTGAATGCTGCTATGATGCATTTTGAGAGAGATATAAGCTTTTTATTTTTCTACACTTATAGCTAAAATTAGGATATTTTCCTCAAAACTCCTGCTCACTAGGCTGTCTCACTTTTCCCGAAAATAAACGTTGCCAGATCCAAAATGATCGATAATCTATGTTTTCTACTTATGTCATTTACTTTCGAGGTCCCGCTCACAAGTCTAGATTAGTTCAGATTTTTGAGTTCTATCCGAAGCTGTTGTAAGAAAAAATTTATCGCCAATCTGGAAAGAGTATGGTTTTAAACCTTAAAACATGGAAATCTATTTAGTATTAATGAGATACACCAGTTTTCTCATTTTTTTTGTCTGTTACCTCTCTTTTGTTTTCTGTAGTATACACATATGTAACATCATCAAAACAGTCAAAAATGATATAATGAACTCTTGTCTCTTTCTTTTTTTTCTGTACTTTTTCCTCTGGCTCAATAAATATAAATTTACAAAAATATCCATTGCAACATCGAACGGTCCTAGATATTTCTCGCAAAATAGATAGTGAGTTCGGTCTTGAGGAAAGCATTTTCAATTTTTCTGCCTTTTTACACGGGATTTCTCTTTTTTCTCATCTTAAATCATTACTTAAAAAGTGAAGTCAATATTTGTCGATCAAGTTTTGTGGAAAATCATCTCAAATTCCAATATAGTTCATTCGTGTTTGTGGTCCTAGACCCAACAAATAATATTCAGCGTGTAAATTTGCGTCTATTCGACAATAGGAGTGTTGATGCGAAAGCTTTTTTTAAAGCTATAGTTGTTGAGCCAGAGGAAAAACTACAGAACAAAAAGAAAGAGACAAGAGCTCATTATATCATTTTTGACTGTTTTTTGATGATGTAAATATGTGTATACTACAGAAAACAAAAGAGAGGTAACAGAGAAAAAGAAAAGAATGAGAAAATTGGTGTAGGATACAGATGTGTGCGGGGCAAGGATTTTTCATACCCTGCGGGCCCCGTCCCGTGACTTCCGCTTCCTCGCCTCGCCCGTCCCCGTGAACTAGTTTTTTTAAGCAGCCCCGCCCCGTCCGTGATTTTTTTTGTGCTACCCCGTCCGGCCCGTGCCTCGTGGCGGTAGCCTCCCTAAACCCACCCCGCTTGCCCGTCAATTTCACGACGGGTCCCGCTCCGTCCCAGTGCAACCCGTGAAACTTTTATTAATCACAAAATTTGGTTTTATTCGTCTGCTCTGCATCGGACATAAAGTTTTCTCAATAGAAATATTGTTTGATTTTCGAGTCCGAAAAAGGACTTAATCGTACAAAAATTTTTTAGAATAAATATCCAGAAAGATATCAGTCAACTGAGTTATTCACAGGGAAATTTGATGATCATGATTTGTCTTTCTCATATTTGTATGAGTTTAATAGATTGGTTGATCTATTTGTTTGTGCGCCAGTAGAGTTACAGGAAATATATGCTGCAAATTTTCCAGTGACGTGATGACGATGACTTTCATCTATTACTAGACCTTCCCAAGTTCAGGTTTTGTCCACAACTGATGAACTGTTCAAAACGCTATATTCAGCGAACTGAACTGATCGAACAGTTCTTTTGAGCGAGCTGAACTCTTTGAACAGTTCGTTTTGAACGAGCTGAACTGGTGGAACAGTTCTTTCTGAGAGAACTGAACGTCGTCTTTCAGCTGCTACACTGACATAGTCACACGGTGTTGTTCCCTGTGTTAGAACTTCACAGATGTCGCAGTCATTCAGAATGCTGTGGAGAGAATGCTTTCGTAAGTCAAAAAGAGTGGAGCATAAGGCTGGCCAATAGCAAACAAAGAGCGTGTCATTACTTTCTTCCGCTCTTGTGAATGAATGTCTGAGCGTAGCAGTATTCTAAAAACATCTATGAGAGAGTTGCGGTGAATTAGCAGAATAGGTTTCCTTCAGACAGACGTTTATCCTGTGAAAGTTTTTGTAGCGCATACTAATCATTTCTCGTGCGTTTTCTAGATGGTTTTACTACGCTCACACACAGATTGTCTACCAGCCAAAGCGCGTTACGAAAGCCTTACTTTTAACCGGGCTTTCGTAATGCCAGGGGTCTGGATGAAACTTGACCAATGAAAAGAAAATACCTATATGTATAACGATAGAGAGACAGATATATGAGTGAATTGCAACCGCGTTTTAAAATTGACGAGAAAAAATGAAAATGATTTTTAAAAAAATCTGAGTCGGCAGTTTTGTTGCGCACGATTTTCTGGATTATCAGTATAAATTTCCCGACTACCACGTGTTCAGCACCCGAGATTTAACCTTGATGTCATATGATCAAGGTACTAATTAGCGATTTTCTCGTTGATGACTCTGTCAAAAGTGAAAATTAAGATGTGCAATCGATAGAGCATGAAAAGTTCTACCTAGTGTCGTCAGTAATAGAGTTGGAACCAGTGCAGGAACGAATCGCGACGGGTTTTCCCGGAGTTGCCGAAGTTTGCTGTCGGTTTTTGACTATAATCCCGGGGTTTCTCCTTGCTAGTATGATAAATTTTTGGAGCGACAGCTGGAACAGAAAGCGCTGATCCAGTGGTGCGTGGAGCCAACGGAAGCGGAATTGGAACCAGCCTGTGGGCGAATCCTTTCAGGAATTGCTCGAATCCTGACCTAGGATATCCTACGTGCACCTGACGTATTTCCCAAGATTTTTAATAGTGGTTTGTCGTAGAGAGTTCATTCTTCTTCGTTTAAAAGATGAAAAGAAACTACATGGACTGACCGGCGCCGATTTTTGAATTTAGGTCTTAGTTTTTTATCAAATTAAGGATTTTTGGAAAATCCGAAAGAGTTTTCGGGTTTTGGAAGTTGTTGGTTGCCTGGAAAACCAATAAAGGCTTAACTGAAAAATCGGCACCGGTCAGTCCATGTAGTTAGGTAACTAGCTTAAAACAAAACAAACCCTTACTCTCTAGTTTGAAGTATATTAAAAAATCTTGGGAAATACTTCAGGGTCTTTTTGTGATCTTGAATACTTCTGAACGGTACGACTTCGAGACAATAACGTTTTTTCATTCCCGTAACTCCTTAAGCCGAACATTTATTGAAAGTTTCATCAAGGTCGGATGTACGGTGTCGGAGATAATTTCTGAGGGGGGCTCCTTAAATAAACATTTTCTGCTAGCACAGCACTTAACGTGTACATGTAAGATATTGTTGTTTCATCATTCAAAATAACAATTGACTTATCAATACGATCAACCAAATGAGCTGGTAAATAGGCACCTGCAAAATAACAAGATATGAAAATGAATCATGTATGATTGCAGCTGAACTATTCATATTTATAAACTTATTAAGCTTTCGAATAAACTTTATTCATCATCAGAAAATACAACAAGTTATAAAATGTACCTATAGACTGAACTGTCTAACACACTTAGATATATATATCTATAGTCTCTGAAAAAACAGAAAGAAAAATAAGAAAACTGTTCGTGAACGTTACTGTTTTTTCTTTTTCTTTTTCCTTTTCTTCACATTTGTACTGAAATGACCTTCTGGAAAGACGTAAAGTGGAACTGATCTATCAGTACCATTAAAAATAGGACCTTTTGATCTGATAGCAAGAGATTCTTTAACTAACAACCGATAACGATTATTGTCTCGTTCTACAATCGAAATATTCTTGAAATCGATTGAATGTCCTGTTTTTATTACGTGTTTTCCTA